ATCCACTGTCCTCTCTCTCTGGTTTCAGACTCTATCCACTGTCCTCTCTCTCTCTGGTTTCAGACTCTATCCACTGTCCTCTCTCTCTCTGGTTTCAGACTCTATCCACTGTCCTCTCTCTCTCTGGTTTCAGACTCTATCCACTGTCTCTCTCTCTCTCTGGTTTCAGACTCTATCCACTGTCCTCTCTCTCTCTCTGGTTTCAGACTCTATCCACTGTCTCTCTCTCTCTCTGGTTTCAGACTCTATCCACTGTCCTCTCTCTCTCTGGTTTCAGACTCTATCCACTGTCCTCTCTCTCTGGTTTCAGACTCTATCCACTGTCCTCTCTCTCTCTCTGGTTTCAGACTCTATCCACTGTCCTCTCTCTCTCTGGTTTCTGACTCTATCCACTGTCTCTCTCTCTCTCTGGTTTCAGACTCTATCCACTGTCCTCTCTCTCTCTCTGGTTTCTGACTCTATCCACTGTCCTCTCTCTCCCTGGTTTCAGACTCTATCCACTGTCCTCTCTCTCTCTCTCTGGTTTCAGACTCTATCCACTGTCCTCTCTCTCTCTGGTTTCAGACTCTATCCACTGTCCTCTCTCTCTCTGGTTTCAGACTCTATCCACTGTCCTCTCTCTCTCTGGTTTCTGACTCTATCCACTGTCCTCTCTCTCTCTGGTTTCAGACTCTATCCACTGTCCTCTCTCTCTCTGGTTTCTGACTCTATCCACTGTCCTCTCTCTCTCTGGTTTCAGACTCTATCCACTGTCCTCTCTCTCTCTGGTTTCAGACTCTATCCACTGTCTCTCTCTCTCTGGTTTCAGACTCTATCCACTGTCTCTCTCTCTCTCTGGTTTCAGACTCTATCCACTGTCCTCTCTCTCTCTGGTTTCTGACTCTATCCACTGTCCTCTCTCTCTCTGGTTTCTGACTCTATCCACTGTCCTCTCTCTCTCTCTGGTTTCAGACTCTATCCACTGTCCTCTCTCTCTGGTTTCAGACTCTATCCACTGTCCTCTCTCTCTCTCTGGTTTCTGACTCTATCCACTGTCCTCTCTCTCTGGTTTCAGACTCTATCCACTGTCCTCTCTCTCTCTGGTTTCTGACTCTATCCACTGTCCTCTCTCTCTCCCTGGTTTCTGACTCTATCCACTGTCCTCTCTCTCTCTCTGGTTTCTGACTCTATCCACTGTCCTCTCTCTCTGGTTTCAGACTCTATCCACTGTCCTCTCTCTCTCTCTGGTTTCTGACTCTATCCACTGTCCTCTCTCTCTCTGGTTTCTGACTCTATCCACTGTCCTCTCTCTCTCTGGTTTCAGACTCTATCCACTGTCCTCTCTCTCTCTCTGGTTTCAGACTCTATCCACTGTCCTCTCTCTCTCTCTGGTTTCTGACTCTATCCACTGTCCTCTCTCTCTCTCTGGTTTCTGACTCTATCCACTGTCCTCTCTCTCTCCGGTTTCAGACTCTATCCACTGTCCTCTCTCTGCATTAAAGGCACAAAAAAGCCCAAAAAATAAATAAAAAATAAAAATACAGGATCAGAGTGGATTTAGAACAAGAAACTTCACACATGTTTTGAAGAGCTCTGAGACTCTTAAACTGAAGAAGAGGAGGAGGATACGTCACCTTTAAATACCAACAATCAGAATCTATATGATGATCTCTGACTTGACTTCATCAGTGGTATATATTTCTAGTGTTGATGTATCTGCTTTAATATATCTGTTATGTGTGGTCTTGAGGCCTGTACCTTGAGGGTGTTGGATGTGTTTCACTTTGTGACGCTGCATTAAAGCTGCTGCTCAGACATCTGCTCAGGATGAACCTCATCACCTCCGTCTCTCTGCAGTTTGTTAGAATCAATAAAGTGCTGCTGACACGTTGACTAACTGTTTCCTTCCTCTCCGAGGTGATGCAACAAACCGTCGCAGGATGTTATTACGACAGAGAGGTTTCAAACTTTAAAGCTTGTGAACAGGAGGATGGATAACCCTGCTCTGTTTGAACCAGCATTAAAGGGGTTAAATCACCTTATGGACACTTTTTACCTCTAGTTTGGTCTCCTCTCTTTTCTGAGGAAAACAATCCAACATGAGTGGAGCTGCATATAGAAAACACTTTGTAGAGTATCACTGTAAGGTCTACTGTACCGTACTCTGGGTCTCATGTTGTCTAACTTGGGGGCGCTGGTGGCCTACTGTTTGGTTCGTGCGCCCCAGGTGCGGAGGCTGTAGTCCCGAAACAGGCAGACCGGGTTTGGATCTGACCTGTGGCTCCTTTCCTGCACGTCCCCACTCTTTCCCCTCTGTGGTTTATTTTAATATTTTGGTAACACTTTATATTAAGGTGCTTGTAATAAGCATTAATAACAGGTAACACGTCACTTATGAGACCTTATTAGATTCTTATTAACACAAATACGACTATATAAGTGTTAATAGAGGCATAATTAACACATTTATTATGTTTTATTAGAAACTTATTAACACTTTATATACTGTCATAACATAACATAAGTAAGACTTCATGAGTGTTAATTAAACTATTAATTAATTAATAATTGGCATATAAGATATTAATTAACACAAAGAAACGTGTTTATAGACCACTTATCAACGTTCATAAGATGTTTATTAACATTGATAAGACTTATTAGGTTCATATTAATGCCTTATAAAGATTAATTAAATATTTATTATGCAGTTAATAAGTGCATAATAAAGTATTTATTAACACTTATTTGTGTTAATAAGAATCTAATAATTAAGTGACTTATTACCTGTTATTAATGCTTATTACAAGCACCTTAATATAAACTGTAACCCATATGGTACATATATTTCTTGAGGCTGAGTTGTTGACAGGTTTTAAAACTATAATCTGTGATCACTGTCATGAACTCTGAGCTGTGCGAGTGATTTCATGAAACCGACTGGTTCTCCTGTGAGAGGCCCTTCTTAATGTTTACAATGTAAGAAGACAGCGCCATCTGGTGGCCAGAGACAGAAGTAGTGAAATGTTTGCACATCATGAATAAAAGAAAACTTGAATTTCAACATTTATTCTGAAGCGCACAGGAAGTAGCAAAAACACCACATGTACGCTGCCCTACAAAGGCAAAAGACCTTAACTCGCCAGAGTGTAGAACTGAGAAAAATGACTTTAAAGTCTTTTTGTTGTCCAGCTAAATGAGTTGCAGGCAGAATGTTGGAAATGTGGCAATTCTTTGTCTTTTTATCAGGTTATTAATGTACATACATCTACAGCTTAAACATGACCTTTGACCCTTATTTGGAAGTTAAGGTACTCTGCCGTTGCAATGCCTGTACAATAATAAGAGGTCATGCCAAGGTAAAAGGCAGTAACTTCCATTTGATAGCTCCCTTGGTTGCTGATCACTATATTAAATCAGTATATGATAATAATGATAACATATACATGAAATCTAGTGATCATGGCACAATTAAGTGCTTGATGACAGATATTAAAACAAAGGCATAACACCTTAACTCCAATACAGTAAAACAGTAACTTCACTTTGATCTGCAGTAAAACAAAGGCAGAAGACCTTAACTCAGTTTGAGCATTCTGGAATTCTGCAGTTCAAAGCCAAAGACCCTGATGAGTGAAGTTACTGGACTCTGCCTTGGTTTCTCGAGGGCTTTTGGAAGTTAAGGCAGATACAACCTACTATTTTCTCAAAAGAACAGCACAATTGATTTAAGATATTTGTCCACATGATAAAGCACATCTGTAATGTTCCAAAAATGAAAAAAAAACTACTTTTCGAAAAAATTGAAGTTACTGCCTTTTGCCTTTGTAGGGCTCCACTGGTGAAATGTTTCTGAAAAGGTTAAAAATAAACGACTACAGGTGGATCTACACAGACTGAGGGGTTTCATAGAGACTGGAGGTGACTGACACTTTAAACCTCATCCTCTGACTCCTTCAACGTCAGAGCTGAACACAAAGCTGCTTCATGTTTAGAGATCTGGATCCACTGAATTATAAAAACAGGTTTTAGTAAGAAAGACTCGATCTGAAACTTCCTGTTTTGTATTTGATATAAACTATTTTCTCTCCACACCGACAGGAAAACAGCTGACAGACATGAAGTAGCAGAGTTGAACCACCAGGGGGCTCTACAGTCTGAAACATGGCAGGTGAACAAATCAGAGCAAAGTGAGGTCACAGTGTGCAGTGACCTTTTACTGTGGGCAGGTCAGACAGAGGAGGTAAGCTATCTGATTTAAAGGGATACTTACCCTAACCCATTAGCATTAATCTTTGTATCTTTAGAAACCTGGCAGTATTTTTGAATGGTCGTGCATCCCTCCCTCATTTTCCCCTGAGATGGGAATTTCCAAGATCAATTCTGGAAGAAATCTCTGAATCAGTTGAGGAAACGGTCTGATGTGTTGAAGTAAATATGTCTGTAAATGTTTTTATTACTATATTTCTACTGCTTTACTGTATATTTTTATTGTATATTTTTTGTATAGTTCACTTCATTTGTCTGTCTACTTGCCGTTATATTGAATAGTTTCTGCTGATAATATGTCTACACTCATGCACTTTAACTTATGTATCACTGATTGCACAGCTCCCTAAGTAAATACTGTCCATTTACAACTCTGTTTTTGCACATTTACATTTAATCTTTCATATTTAAGACTAGTAATGCTAAGTTAAATCCTGGTACTTATTTACTTTGTATTTAATATTATATTGTGTTTAGATTTACTAATATTGTGTGTTGGATAACCTGCTACTGTAACGCCACAATTTCCCAGTTTGGGATCAATGAAGTAATTCTATTCTATTCGATTCTATTTTGGAGAAACTGTAACCATCGAATTTCCCTCTGGGATTAATAAAGTATTTCTGATTCTGAACTAGAGGACCTTAGTGGGAGTGGCCTGTGGTGCTGTGCATTCTGGGATTTGGTGTCTTTCATCCACATGAGCCAAAAAGACACTTTCTGTCTTTTCTCAGTCAAGAAGGCACCAACTTCAAAATGTATTTCACATTTCTACATATATGACCCAATGTCAACACAGATTCATGTTTCAACGGGTGAAGTATCCCTTCAACAAAGATTTGAACTTAAAGACATTTGTAGTTCTCTGAAGACCTCCTGCCTGAGTTTACAGACTGACGGGCTTAAAGCAGGTCTGGACTTTCAGAGACCAGCAGTCCTCCAGTTCTACAAAGTTTCTGCCCCCCATCAGACGGATCCAAAGGGGAACTCGCCGGCCGTCATCACATGGTGAAAGACGAGCCGTTCTCGCTGCCTACGTCCACCGTGCGGCGAGTGGACATGAAGTAATCGGAGGTGGTCCTGGAGAAGCGGCGTGGAGCAATGTACCTCTTGCCCAGACACCACAGGTCCCGCACGATCCTCCTGAAGTGGGTCCTGAACTTCACCCCCACGAAGGCGTACAGGATGGGGTTCAGGCAGCAGTGCAGGTAGGCGACGGTCTGCGTCAGCGTGTTGGCCGTGAGCAAGGCGTCCGACTCTTCACACGACAGCTCTCCGAACATGTTGACCGTGTCGATGAGCAGCGTGACGTTGTACGGGAGATGACACGTGACGAACACCACCACCACCACCATCACCACCCGCACCGCCTTGTGCCGCTGGAAGTTTTTGGCCTTGAGCAGCGTGACGATGACGGCGGTGTAGCAGAAGAGCATGACGAGCAGCGGCAGGAAGAAGCCCACGGCGAGCTGCGTGCTGGGGACCGCCACCTTGGTCTTCCACGCCGTGGCAGTGTCCAGGAACTTGAACTCACAGACGTAGTGAGGCGGCTCGAGGTTCTGGATCGGGTCCTCCTCTAACAGGAAGGTGTACCTGCTGTGGGATGGCTCGTACGAGGTGTAAAAGTAGAAGGACGGGACGGACAGCAGGAAGGCGGCGACCCAGACGGTGGCGCAGATGAGGCGGCTGTACCGCAGCGAGCGCAGTCTGAAGCTGCGGCGCGCCTGGACGATGGCGATGTAGCGGTCGGTGCTGATGCAGGCGAGCAGCAGCATGCCGCTGTACAGGTTGACGCTGTAGGAGCCGCGCAGCAGCTTGCACGCCACGGGCCCCAGGGACCACGGCGACAGCTCGCTGTAGACAATCAGAGGCAGCGACGCCACGAACAGCAGGTCGGCGACGGCCACGTTCAGCAGGTAGATGTCCGTCATGGACTTGGTCCTCTTGTAGAAGGCGTAGGTGACGATCACCAGGATGTTCCCCACGAGGCCCAGGATGCAGATGATGGAGTGGATGTATGGAACAATCACACGCTCCACCCAATGGTTGGTCTGGTGAGAGCACGGTTCATTGCCATATGAATAATCAGTCCCGTTATAGTCGAAATCTGATTGGTTGAGCAAGCTGTCATAGTCATAGTCTGAGCCCTCCATCGTCACGTCCAGCTGTAAACAGAGACAGAGCATTAATACACAGCGAGGAGGAATCAAAGAGAGAAAACAAAACATAAAGAAACATTTGAGTCATGAGAAACAGAGAAGATGAAAGACGTCTCCCTGCGCTCTTTGGTCTCCATCACCGTGTGTTCATGCAGCTGAATACACCTGAGAGACGATTTCATCTGGATACAAAAGTCCGGCAAGGACTTGAGATTTGGAAGTTTTAGACATCCGTCCGGCTTAGATAGCCTAAACCTTTATCATCAACATGTTCTGTTTTGACCCTGAGTGTATCCCCCTACTGAAAGCGACGTGACATGATTAAAAATTGCTCCCATCTATTGTGTATTACCACTACACTGCCCAAAGCATGCTGGGTAACATAGCAACCAGGCTTTTTCCATCTTTCCTCCGTCATGAGGTCATCATGTTGCATTTAAATCAAATGGTGGTTTACTGGTCAGTAAATAAAGTTTGTGTTGATTTAAAGACAGCGAGTGAGCAGAGGAGGGGGGGCAGAGAGACTCGAGGGCTGAGGGTCTGAACTTCACAATGTTAGCATAGCTCGACTAGCGTACAGGTAGCTATCAGGATTACAAACCCCACCTGGTGGACGCAGATGGTACTACAAGAGCTGCTCATTCACTTATGATGAAAACGATAGAAATCAAGACACAGGATGTAGACGTTTGAACCTTTTTTCACTTCTGAGAGACCCTCAAATACAGACTGAGACTGTGAGATGTGTACGCAGATGATACTGTGATGTATTTCAATCCAAAGTCCAATCAACAAGCTGTGAGCATCATGTGATTGTTTCATATCTTTCTGTGAAAGTTTGGTTAGGTTTAGAAACACAGAAGAATGGTTATATATAGTCCTGCTTCATCTGAGTAGGTTTTTGACAAAGTGCAGTCTCTTCAAATATTGATATATTTCAGCTTCAGTCCCCCAAATGTTCGAGTTCAACATTTTAATGGTCAATGAGTGCGACTACTTAAGTAATGGACTTAAGGATCCTGGTTTTGATCATGTTTTAAGGATCCCGTTTTCCATGTTTGTGCGTGTAAATATCAGATCCGGATTTCAGGAACCATGATGAGCCCTAATCTTGATTTAGAGTTGCTCCCTGGAGAACTTAGAAAGAAAACAGGTCATTTAAAAGCCTTCAACTGGTTTCTGACAGCCGACGACTACCTGCACATGCGACACCTCAGCCAAGGGACGTATCAGCAAACCAAACATGGCGGCGGCAACGAGAACATCTTTATTTCTGGAACGACGAAGAAACTGAGTTTTGTCTTTTGGTGATGAAAGAATTTAATAAAGCAGGATACGAGTACTGAACATGTAAACAGGAAGAAGAAGATCGAGAACATTACGGTAAATTTAATCAAGAGAACGCCAGATTTTGTTTCCAGCTGAGTCAGCAGTTAAGTTACAAGAAGTCAAAGTATGTTCCCTGTTGTTTGAAGTCCGGGCCTCTATCTGGGCTCTGGACACTCTGCACTTTGAGAACGTTAGCGGACACTCGGTCACAGCTTTTTGTAAACATGTTTCCTTTAAGTTGGACTTGAAACCTGAGCGAATCATTAAAGGTGTTTTCAGGAGGCTGTGGGTCTTTGACTGGTTCCATTCCGAGATCTGGAAACCATTAGGTTCATTTACATGATGAGATATTCAGATGACATGAAAGTGAAGCACAAATGTCACAGGTTTGGAGTCGTGGTGTGACAGCAGCTGCAGACTCGGTTCTGCAGGTACTGACGCGGTGGGAACGTCCCCGTTGTGGTTGATGGAGGTGGTGGAGATGAGAATGTGTTTGTACTCAAGTGTGCAGAGAAAACAGGTCAGATCAGTCTGAGAGAGCGAGTGACCCACTTCATGTGTAACCTGTGGTTTCACTCACAAAGACTCCTGCAGAGATCTTCTTATCAGATGTTACCTCCATTTTAGTCTCTTCTCCAACAGAACCAGTTAAAGAGCCTCCACACTGCAAGTACAACCAGATCCACACATGCTAAGTGGGTTAGGGTACCCTAACCCCTGTGGCCACATGATGGTATAACAGCCCTCAGTTATGAGATGGTGGTCGACAGTTTCTTACTTCACAGAGACCGCTGGTTCTTTGACACTTGTTGATGAAGGTCTTGTCTTGAAATCTAAAGCATTTTAACTTGGACTTGTCTTGGTCTCAGACTGGGCAGACTCTGGATTTTAAATCAAAACCAGTCAAGACCACCTCTGAGTCATTACTGAGATTAGAAGGAAAAGCCTCTTTGTAAAAGAACAAATAACTTTATCTATAGTTTGATTTTTATCCCCCAGTGTTACGGTCTAAGTAAGGGCCACGCCCCCTAAACACAAGATGAGGATTTCTAAGTGATTTTTATCTTCTTGGTCTTGACTCAATCTCGCCCTGCCTTGGTTTTGGTCTCAGTCCGGTCTTGATCCTCTTAGTCTCAGAGCTCTCTGGTCTCCGGTAAGTCTTGGTCTCAGAGGACTCTGGTCTCGCGTAAGTCTTGGTCTCGGAGGACTCTGGTCTCGGGTAAGTCTTGGTCTCTGTGGTCTTGACTACAACACCACAATCAGGTCCACAGAGTATCAAACCCAGGAGAGGAAGCTGTTCAGATCAGAATCAGTCGGAGCTCAAAGGAGAAACGAAGAGTTCCTCAAACGTTGAACTGAACGCGTTGATCTGCTCTGAACTTCTGCTTCTTCTATCCCCTTAAAGGTTACAACAGGAGCCCAGTTTGTCCCCTCCGACTTCCCCTATTTATAATGTCACAGGAAGTCAAACTAAAAGTCAAACTGCAGCTTGTGTCTTTGTTCAGACGCTGACCATTTTACGTTGGCAGAAAATCAACAAGACCATTTTATTATTTACTCGATGTTAGAAATCAGAGAATCTCGTGTTTCTTCTGCTCGCTGACGTCGGTGTTTGGAGATCCGTCACCATGACAACGTGACCTGTGAATCTGTGGTTTGTCCACAGGGGGTGCTAGAGGAACAGTGTGAGAAGTTAAAGGAATAAAAAGGTGTTCAGTCAGGTGTTTGATCACCTGACTTCAGATGTTTACTTTTATATTTCTCTTTATTCCTCAAGTCACGACCGACGCTAAGAATTGAAGCTAGCCATAAACTTCTTTAGGGCTGAGGGTCATTGCGATAACACGATCTTAAACTTTGATTTGATTCTAGTAAAAATCAAACGATTTCGAGACCTGTTTGTTACCACGGCAACAGAAGTAGTAGTCCTAGACGCCCAGTGTTTGGTCATGTCTGATTTTTGGGCCTTCATTGGAACAGAGACAGGAAGTGTTCAGGGGGTTTGAACCAATACGGCGCCTCGTCCTTTGTTGTTTTGAATGATAAATGTTTAAGGTGAACTCCTGCACGCCGTCTGAGCTGCATGAACAAAAACACAAACATTGACAACGTTTCAGTGCAACAAAGACGGTTTGCAAACGTCTAGAAGATCGTTGGCAACCCTTCAGAAGCACAAGGCATGATTCTGTTAAAACTCTCACCATATCGATATCTGTTTGTTACCGTGGCAACAGAAGTAGAAGTCTTAGGCGCCCAGTGATTGGTCAGGTTGACTCCAGCACACTGTCTGAACTGAACAAAAAGTGCGACATGGTGGGACATGTTGTGACATGTTGTGACATGTGATGTGATGATTACCTCGCTCCTCTCCTTCACATCCATCTCATATTTAAAGCTTTAAAGCAATATTATACGTGACGTCTAAACGCCATCGAGTCGCTGACGCTCAAACCTTCAGAATATACGTGATTGAAATGTTGGATGTGAATATAAATGTTCAGAACAATCTGAAGAGTTCATGAACGTTCCTTCACATTCATCTTTAATCAAGTCTCTTTTTGATTTGACGTTTATGAGGTTTTATTCTGAAAGTTTCAGGAAAAGATGATCTCTATAACTTCCTTATTTCCTCCTGAGTCATGAATCACTTTATTCTGTCTCCTTCAGTGGATGTGTTTTAAGATGAACATCCTGCTGGGACTCTATGCCGCATGGAGAGAAGAGTTCCCTCCAACAACAGCACCACATCAAAGAACAGTCATAAAACCAATAAACCAATAAAAACCAATAAACCAAAACTCAAGGGCCATCACACCTCTTGTCAAAGTGGTAAAACACCAACAGTTGGTAGGTCAGGGGAGAATCATTAAGTCTTCCTGTTACAAAGATTCCCTTACAGTGAACCAGGGATGAAGAAATAGATCTCTCTGTGTGCAGAACGGTAAATTTAATCAAGAGTATGCCAGCGGTTTGTTTGCAGCCGAGTCAGCAGTTATGTTCATAAATCCTCCTCTGTTGTTTGAAGACCAGGGCTCTCTCTGGACTTTGAGACTTTACGAGAAACAACACTTCAAAGAAGGACTGAAAAAAAAAGAGGTAAATAAGAGAAGAAGAAGAGAAGAGGTGAATAAGACAAGAAGAAGAAGAGAGTTTTTGATCAAAGAGTGAAAAGTCAGAGAAGAGAGAAATAAAAAGCAGAACTCACAGGTTGGCGGGTTGTCGGGCTGCTGCTCGTTCGTCCAGATGATGGTGGTGATAAATGTGCTGAACGACATCCAGACACTCTGACAACACACCTGAGACGTGTGGGTGAGGAGAGAGAGAGGGGAGAGAGAGAGAGACAGAGAGAGAGAGAGAGAGAGAGAGAGAGAGAGAGAGAGAGGGGGGAGAGAGAGAGGAAGAGAGAGAGAGAGAGAGCGAGAGAGAGGTTACAGACAGAACTGGTTACCGTGACGTCTAAACGCCATCGAGTCGCTGACGCTCAAACCTTCAGAATATACGTGATTGAAATGTTGGATGTGAATATAAATGTTCAGAACAATCTGAAGAGTTCATGAACGTTCCTTCACATTCATCTTTAATCAAGTCTCTTTTTGATTTGACGTTTATGAGGTTTTATTCTGAAAGTTTCAGGAAAAGATGATCTCTATAACTTCCTTATTTCCTCCTGAGTCATGAATCACTTTATTCTGTCTCCTTCAGTGGATGTGTTTTAAGATGAACATCCTGCTGGGACTCTATGCCGCATGGAGAGAAGAGTTCCCTCCAACAACAGCACCACATCAAAGAACAGTCATAAAACCAATAAACCAATAAAAACCAATACACCAAAACTCAAGGGCCATCACACCTCTTGTCAAAGTGGTAAAACACCAACAGTTGGTAGGTCAGGGGAGAATCATTAAGTCTTCCTGTTACAAAGATTCCCTTACAGTGAACCAGGGATGAAGAAATAGATCTCTCTGTGTGCAGAACGGTAAATTTAATCAAGAGTATGCCAGCGGTTTGTTTGCAGCCGAGTCAGCAGTTATGTTCATAAATCCTCCTCTGTTGTTTGAAGACCAGGGCTCTCTCTGGACTTTGAGACTTTACGAGAAACAACACTTCAAAGAAGGACTGAAAAAAAAAGAGGTAAATAAGAGAAGAAGAAGAGAAGAGGTGAATAAGACAAGAAGAAGAAGAGAGTTTTTGATCAAAGAGTGAAAAGTCAGAGAAGAGAGAAATAAAAAGCAGAACTCACAGGTTGGCGGGTTGTCGGGCTGCTGCTCGTTCGTCCAGATGATGGTGGTGATAAATGTGCTGAACGACATCCAGACACTCTGACAACACACCTGAGACGTGTGGGTGAGGAGAGAGAGAGGGGAGAGAGAGAGAGACAGAGAGAGAGAGAGAGAGAGAGAGAGAGAGAGAGAGAGAGGGGGGAGAGAGAGAGGAAGAGAGAGAGAGAGAGAGCGAGAGAGAGGTTACAGACAGAACTGGTTACCCAGAGAGGCCAGGCTGTGTTCACTCATCAGAATCTCACTTCCTCCTACACTGTGGCATATATAGAGATTTAAGAGAGGCTCTCTTTGATTACATTTAAAATAAATATTCTGACTTTCTCCATCTCCCTCATCCTCAGAAGCTGCTCTATCTCTGTGGAGAGAAAAGTCTGTGCGCAGTACGAGCTGCTAAATATGTTCATGATTGTCACATACTAAGACAAAATACACTGAATGTGTCATAGAAATACACTGTTAAAATGATTCATATTATTGTTAATGTTTTTTTTCATATTTGTTATATTTGTTTACTGAATATATTGTTATCATTTGTTAAACAATTTCTTTTTGTACTGCTTCGGCAACATGGATTGTTGATCTGTCATGCCAATAAAGCTCATTTGAATTGAATTGAAAGACAGGAAACCTGTCTGTACATCTGTACAGATGTTACTGGATTGGTACAGATGTTACTGGATTGGTACAGATGTTACTGGATTGGTACAGATGTTACTGGATTGGCACAGATGTTACTGGATTGGTACAGATGTTACTGGATTGAGTTTTCATTGACTTGATGTTGCTTTGTTAAATAAATTCTGTTATAATTTAAGAGAGCAGTTTGTGATTACTGGTGTATTTGCATTGTGATATAAGCTGGGTGTGAGGGCTTTGTGTACGGATTTCACGCCTTCAATTTATTAAATACAGTTATTAATTATTAATAATATTAGTAATTAAATAACTAATTTGAGACTGATTTTAGCGATATTTTGGTTATTTTTCCCTGGTTTCAGGGTGGTGCCCCCGAGTCAATTAAACATAGTTTCATAACAGCGTCATTTATATTACTAAATAATTAAATATGAATATTAATAATATAAACCAATTTGACGAGGTAAAACACCAACAAATGGTGCCCCATGTGAGGCATTCAATAAAACCATCTTTATTACACTGTTAATGCACAGTAATCCGAATCCGAGGAAGTTTAACTTCAGATTGTTGCACATTAAACCTCAAGAAAGAGAGAGAAACATCTTACAATACGACCATATCCAAATAATCATTCATGAAACAACCTGTTACAACAAAAGTATTTATTGCTCATTCAAACTGTACAGAATTAAATATTGACGATACAAAGAGGTGCATGATGGGAAAGCAGAGCGTGGTCAGGCCACATCCTCCATGTAGTCGGCTCCGTGACTCTGACTGAGCTGAGAGACGCTCAGGTCCTGAGTGGTTTCATCAAACTGCAGAACAAAGAGCAGCACAAGGGTTAATGTAAGCATTTAAAGGGACAGCACACACAGGTAAAACCTCAAACAGGAAGTGTGAGCACCTTGTCGCTGTTCTCAGGACCCTCAATGGAAACTTCCTCGATCTCCTCTCCGATACTGAGCTCACTCTTAGAGAGGTCGGACCGATGACTGAAACAGTGAAACAGGAAACTGTGAGACATTTTCTTCTCAGGTGTGAGCATCGTTTTAATCAAGAAAACAGAGAGGGTGACCAGGTGTCTCGCTTTGGTCGAGACTGTGGAGTATTTTCATCAGCAGTCCCACAAAGTGAGATCCTGTTCCTCATCTGTTTGGAGCGTTCAGCACCCTGAAGTGTGATCCAGCATGTGGTCAGTCCTACCTGTTGAAGTCATCGTCGTACTCCACATCGTCATCTGTCAAACAAAGATTTCATTG